TTCCCAGCCTTAATTCCCAAAGTTCTGTTCCCACTTTGGGAATTACCCAGAATTCCCGAGAATCTGTTCCCAGCTTGGAAACTCCCCAGAATTCCCAAAGTTCTGTTCCCACCTTGGGAACACCAGAGAATTCCCAAAGTTCTGTTCCCAGCCTGAATTCCCAAAGTTCTGTTCCCAGCCTGAATTCCCGCGGTTCCGTCCCCGCCCTGGGAATTCCTCACGCCGTGTTCGACCTGCAGCGCCTGGCCGCGGTGCTGCGCTCGTTAAGCGCTAACGAGGAATTCCAGCGGCTCCCGCCCCCCTCTCCGCCCCCTCCGGAGCTGCTCCAGAGGCTGGAAAAGGCCTTGGACACCGCCCTGATGGGAATTCTCTATTCCCAAGATTCCCGAGATTCCCAAGATTCCCGGAGGAATTCGGGAAAAGCCGTCCCGGCTGAAGGAAAATCCCGGATTTTTTACGGATTCTGAAGAAAATTTCCTCGATTGGACGAGAATTCCACGACTTTTCTGGGTGCAGCTCAGGAATTCCATGGAATTTCACGGAATTTGTGGAATTCCATGGAATTCCTGTTGAAGCCGGAGCTGGAAGCGACGATGGACACAGGAATTCCCGATTTTCCCGCCTTTATTCCAAAGGATTTGGGGCGTTAATCCGACGGAAATTCAGGAATGAGGGAGAAATTCCCAGAGTTTGGCAGAATTTGGGAAAACCCATCCGAGCTGAAGGAAAATCCCGGAATTTTTACCGATTCTGAGCCTCAGGGAAAAAATTCCCAGTGGATCAAACCTGGAAGAGGAAAACCGGGAATTCCTGAGCTCTCCCAGCTCCAGCTTTTTTTTTTTTGGGAATTCCAGCTGAATTCCATGGAATTCCCTGGAAGGTGGAGCTGGATTTGGCTCTTCCAAATTAAATTCCATGAAATTTAGAAATTTTTCCATGAAAATTCCATTCGGGGATCGATTCCGTGAAAAATCTGAATCTGCCTGGAATCATCCCGAGGAAAAAAACGGGAATGGGAAAGTCGGGAATTCCCACCCGGACTTCCGTAGGATTTTCCAAGGGGAGCGTCCCCTTTCCTGCTTTTCCTTGGAAAAATCAAAAAGCTGGAAGCACAAAAGGCCGGAGCTAAAAAAAACTTGGAATTTTGGGAAGTTTTAGGAAGCGGAAGCGGAAATCGGCCTCGTTTTCCAGAGAATTCCTTGGAATTTTTATCCAGTTTTCCAGTGGGGAATTTGAGGTTTTTTATTCCCAAGAAATCCCAAGAAATCCCAAGAAATGGAGAAAATTCTAGGATTGCTGGAAAGAATTCCAAAGGAAAATTGGGAATAAGGAGCACGCGGAGGCTGGAATTTCTTGAGAATTCCCAGTTTTATTTAAATAAAAAATTCCTGGTGAAATTCCTGTGGGATTCCGGGGTTTTTTATGGAAGTTGGGAAAATGGGAGGGAAAATTGGGGGGGAAAAATTCCTGGGAAAAAGAACAAAAATTCTGGGAAAAATAAAAAAAAAAAATCCAGGGAAAAGTGATGAAAATTCCTGGGAAAAATGACAAAAATTTTTTGGGAAAATTAAAAATTCCTGGGAAAAAATAAAAAAAAATTCTGGGAAAAATGATAAAAATTCAGGAAAAATTAAAAATTCCTCGGAAAAATGACAAAATTCTGGGAAAATGGCAAAAATCCTTGGAAAAAATAAAAATTCCTGGGAAAAATGAAAAAAATTCTGGGAAAAATGATAGAAATTCAGAAAAAATTAAAAATTCCTGGGAAAATAAAAAAAAAATCCTTGGAAAATATTAAAAATTCCTGGGGAAAATGACAAAAATTTCTTGGAAAAAATAAAAAAAATCCAGGGAAAAATAAAAAAAAAAAATCTGGGAAAAATAACAAAAATTCTTGGGAAAATAAAAAACAAATCCAGGGAAAAATGATAAAAATTCAGGAAAAATTTTAAAAATTCAGGAAAAATTAAGAATTCCTGAGAAAAATCACAAAATTTTGTGAAAATGGCAAAAATCCTTGGAAAAATTAAAAATTCCTGGGAAAAATTACAAAAAATTTTTGGGAAAAATGAAAAAAATTCTTGGGAAAAATTAAAAAAAATCTGGGAAAAATAAAAAAAATCCAGGGAAAAATGATAAAAATTCAGGGAAAAATGATAAAAATTCAGAAAAAATTAAAAATTCTTGGGAAAAATGACAAAATTCTGGGATAATGACAAAAATCCTTTGGAAAAATGAAAGAATTCCAGGGAAAAATCACAAAATTCTGGGAAAAATTGAAAATTCCTGGGGAAAATAAAGAAAAAAATCCTGGGAAAAATGAAAAAAATCTAGGAAAAAATTGAAAATTCCCAATGGAAAATGACAAAAATCCACAGGAAAATAAAAAAATTCCAGGGAAAATGACAAAATCCTGGGAAAAATAAAATTGTTCTGGGAAAAATGGCAAAAAATCTTGGAAAAATGACAAAATCCCTTGGAAAAATGACAAAAATTCAGGAAAAATGACAAAAATCCCATGGGAAAATTAAAAAAAAAATCCAAGGAAAGTGAAAATATTCTGGGAAAAATGACAAAATTTCCTGGGAAAAATGGAAAAATCCCAATGGAAATTTACAAAAATTCAGGAAAAATTACAGAAATCCCTTGGAAAAATAAAAAAAAAAGAAAAATCCTGGAAAAAATAAAAAAATTCCTGGGAAAAATCCTGGAAAAAAATCCTGGAAAAATCAAAAAACCCTTGGAAAAATGACAAAAATTCAGGAAAAATTATGGAAATCCTTTGGGAAAATTAAAAAAAATCCAGGGAAAATTAAAAAAAGTCCAGGGAAAATTAAAAAATTTTGGGAAAAATTTAAAAAATTCTGGGAAAAATGACCAAATTCCCATTTCTTTAAAGCTTTGGATTCCAGTTTTCCTTCCCAAAAATTTCCAGGATTTAAGAAATGAGGAAAACTTGGGGAAAAAACAGCCGGAAAAAATCCCGGGGGAGTTTTGTTTTCCCAGGAATCGCCTGGAAAAGGAAAACGAAATCCAGGGAAAAATGAAAAAATCGGGATAAAAGATGTTTAAAAAATGGAATTTTGGGGCTGTTTCGGGAAAATCCCAAAGATTCATCGGGAATATCCCAAAAATTCGTTGGGAATATCCCAAATTTTCCTTTTCCAAAGGGATTCAGGGCAGGGATTGGAGTTTCTATTCCCGTTTTCCCGTAGTTTTCCCGGAATTTCCCCAAAATCCGGGAGAAATCCACATTTTTCCTGAGCTCTGAGAGGGAATTAAACCACGGGAAAATCAGGAATTTTGGGAATGGGAAATTCCAAAAATCCCGACTCAGGAAAAGTGGGAAAAGTGAAAATTTTTCCACATTTTTTTTCCCTCATTCCAGGAATTTTTCAGAGCTTTGGGATCCATTTCCCATCCCAAAAAATTCCTTTTTTTTTTTTTTCTGGGAATTCTCCAGTGTAAATTAAAAATTAAAAATCCCGAAGCAGGAAAAGGAAAATTTTTCCCGGGAATTCTTGATGGGAAAATGGGATCAAGGTGGGAATTCCGGAATTTTTCCCGAGAATTCTTGATGGGAAAATGGGATCAAGGTGGGAATTCTGGAATTTTTCCCAGGAATTCTTGACGGGAAAATGGGATCAAGGCGGGAATTCCGGAATTTTTCCCAGGAATTCTTGACAGGAAAATGGGATCAAGGTTGGAATTCCAGCTTTTCCAGTGATTTTTGGGATGGGAAAACCTCAGCTGGGGAGGAATTCCTTCCCTTAAAAGCAGCCAGGGATGAAATTCCCGATTTTTCCAGCTGGAAAATTCGGGATGAAGAAGATTTTTCCCAAGGGATCACGAACTGTGGGAATTTTCTTTGGGATGAATCCGGATCCTTTGGATGTGTTCGTAGCACGACTGAGGAGGGAAAAGAGCGGAAAAATCAGGGAAAAAAAATCGGGAATTCCGGGATTAAATCCGAGCTCTTGCAGCCGGAAAATTCCCGCGGATCCCGGGAATTCCCAAGGAATTCCGGGAAAAACTTCCCTGACCTCGAGCGCCGTGAGCAGGAAATCTGACATTCCGCCCTGCTGGGATGGATCCATGAAATCCCGGATCAGGTGGATTTCGGCTCCCAGGTGTTGGATCCTAAGGAAAAACGAATCCCAAAATCCGGGAAAAACCTCTCGGGAATGGGGACAGGGTGGGGATTAATTGGGGATTAATTGGGGATTGATTGGGGATTGATTGGGGATTTATTGGGGATTTATTGAGGATTTATTGGGAATTTATTTGGGGATTATTTTGGGAATTATTTGGGAATTAATTGGGGATTAATTGGGGATTATTTTGGGAATTATTTGGGAATTAATTGGGGATTAATTGGGGATTAATTGGTTGGGGATTATTTTGGGAATTATTTGGGAATTAATTGGGGATTAATTGGGGATTGATTGGGAATTTATTGGGGATTAATTTGGGATTGTTTGGGAATTATTGGGGATTATTTGGGAATTAATTGGGGATTAATTGGGAATTTATTGGGGATTAATTGGGGATTATTTGGGGATTAATTGGGGATTAATTGGGAATTTATTTGGGGATTATTTGGGAATTAATTGGGGATTAATTGGGGATTAATTGGGGATTAATTGGGAATTTATTGGGAATTTATTTGGGGATTATTTTGGGAATTATTTGGGAATTAATTGGGGATTAATTGGGGATTATTTGGGAATTAATTGGGGATTAATTGGGAATTTATTGGGGATTAATTGGGGATTAATTGGGAATTTACTGGGGATTAATTGGGGATTAATTGGGAATTATTTGGGATTATTTGGGAATTTGAGAATTAATAGGGAATTATTTGGGAATTGGGAATTTATTTGGGAATTATTTGGGATTATTTGGGAATTTATTGGGGATTATTTGGGGATTAATTGGGAATTATTTGGGAATTATTTGTGGATCATTGGGAAATAATTTGGGAATAATTATTATTATTATTTGGGAATTATTGTGGATTAGAGGGTCAGGAATGCAGAATTCCATGGGAATGCAGAATTCCAGAGGGTGGGAATGAAATTTCAGAGGAAATTGAAGAATTCCATAGGGAATGTAAGAATTCCAGAGGAAATGCAGAATTCCAGAGGGTGGAAATGCAGAATTCCATGGAAATGTAGAATTCCAGAGGGTGGAAATGCAGAATTCCAGAGGGTTGGGAATGCAAAATTCCAGAGGGAATGGAAGAATTCCAGAGGCAAAGAATGAAAGAATTCCAGAGTGGATCCAGAATTCCAGAGGGTTGGGAATGAAAGAATTCCTGAGGAAATGCAGAATTCCAGAGGGTCAGGAATGCGGAATTCCATGGGAAATGCAGAATTCCATGGAAATGTAGAATTCAATGGGAATGCAGAATTCCAGAGGGAATGAAAGAATTCCAGAGGCAAAGAATGGAAGAATTCCAGAGTGGATCCAGAATTCCAGAGGGTTGGGAATGCAGAATTCCATGGGAAATGCAGAATTCCATGGGAATGCAGAATTCCAGAGGGTGGGAATGAAATTTCAGAGGAAATTGAAGAATTCCAGAGGGAATGAAAGAATTCCAGAGGAAATGCAGAATTCCAGAGGGAATGGAAGAATTCCAGAGGTTGGGAATGAAAGAATTCCTGAGGAAATGCAGAATTCCAGAGGGTCGGGAATGCAGAATTCAATGGGAAATGCAGAATTCCAGAGGGTGGGAATGAAATTTCGGAGGAAATTGAAGAATTACAGAGGGAATGAAAGAATTCCAGAGGAAATGCAGAATTCCAGAGGGTTGGGAATGCAGAATTCCAGAGGAAATGCAGAATTCCAGAGGAAATGCAGAATTCCAGAGGGAATGAAAGAATTCCAGAGGGTTGGGAATGAAAGAATTCCTGAGGAAATGCAGAATTCCAGAGGTTGGGAATGTGGAATTCCGTGGAAATGCAGAATTCCATGGAAATGCAGAATTCCACGGGAAATGCAGAATTCCAGGGGGTCAGGAATGTAGAATTCCATGGGAAATGCAGAATTCCAGAGGGTGGGAATGCAGAATTCCACGGAAATGCAGAATTCCACGGAAATGCAGAATTCCATGGGAAATGCAGAATTCCACGGAAATGCAGAATTCCATGGGAAATGCAGGATTCCACAGGAATGCAGAATTCCACAGAAATGCAGAATTCCATGGGAAATGCAGAATTCCACGGAAATGCAGAATTCCATGGGAAATGCAGAATTCCATGGGAATGCAGAATTCCAGAGGGTGGGAATGAAATTTCAGAGGAAATTGAAGAATTCCAGAGGGAATGAAAGAATTCCAGAGGAAATGCAGAATTCCAGAGGGTTGGGAATGCAGAATTCCAGAGGAAATGCAGAATTCCAGAGGAAATGCAGAATTCCAGAGGGAATGAAAGAATTCCAGAGGGTTGGGAATGAAAGAATTCCTGAGGAAATGCAGAATTCCAGAGGTTGGAAATGCAGAATTCCATGGGAAATGCAGAATTCCACGGAAATGCAGAATTCCATGGGAAATGCAGAATTCCATGGGAATTCCCGGACCTGGCTCTGGCCACCACGAAGAGCAGCAGGGGCAGGAGTTCGTCCATCGGGAGCCGCGAGCCCGGAGCCGCCAGAGCCCGGCAGGCGCCGCCCAGGAATTCCAGCTTTTCCTTGGGATCCACCGTGGTGCTGCCGGAAAAACAGCGGGAAAATGGGGAAAAACAGCGGGAAAATGGGGAAAATCCAGGGAAAATGGGAAAAAACAGGGGGAAAATGGGGAAAAAAATGGGGGGAAATGGGGGAAAAGACAGGGAAAAAAGCAGGAAAAAACCTGGAGAAAAATGGGAAGAAATAGGGAAAATGGGGAAAAATGGGGAAAAATATGGGAAAAATGGGGAAAATCCAGGGAAAATTTGGGATGAAACTGGGGTTTGTGGGATGGGAAATTCCTGGGATTTCCAGGATGGAATTCCAGCTTTTCCTTGGGATCCACCGTGGTGCTGCCAGAAAAACAGCGGGAAAAATGGGGAAAATCCAGGGAAAATGGGAAAAAACAAGGGGAAAATGGGGAAAATCCAGGGAAAATGGGAAAAAATGGGGGAAATGGGGAAAATCCAGGGAAAATGGGAAAAAACAGGGGAAAAATGGGGGAAATCCAGGGAAAAATGGGGAAAAAAATGGGGGGAAATGGGGGGAAAAAACAGGGAAAAAAGCAGGAAAAAAACTGGAGAAAAATGGGGAAAAATGGGGAAAAATGTGGGAAAAATGGGGAAAATCCGGGGAAAATTTGATATGAAACTGGGGTTTGTGGGATGGGAAATTCCTGGGATTTCCAGGATGGAATTCCAGCTTTTCCTTGTGATCCACCGTGGTGCTGCCGGAAAAAACAGCAGGAAAATGGGGAAAATCCAGGGAAAATGGGAAAAAACAGTGGGAAAATGGGGAAAATCCAGGGAAAATGGGAAAAAACAGGGGAAAATGGGGGAAATCCAGAGAAAATGGGAAAAAATGGGAAAATGGGGAAAATCCGGGGAAAATGGGAAAAAACAAGGGGAAAATGGGGGAAATCCAGGGAAAATGGGAAAAAACAGCGGGAAAATGGGGGAAATCCAGGGAAAATGGGAAAAAACAGGGGAAAAATGGGGAAAATCTGGGGAAAATGGGGAAAAACAGCGGGAAAATGGGGAAAATCCAGGGAAAAAATGGGGAGAAAAATGGGAAAAAAGGGGGAAAAAGGGGGAAAATGGGAAAAAAATGGAGGGAAAAATGGGAAAAAATGGGGAAAAAATGGGGAAAAAATGGGAGAAAATGGGAAAAAATGGGAAGAATGGAGAAAAAAGGGGGAAAATGGGAAAAATGGGGAAAATGAGAAAGAAACAGGGAAAAACTGGGGAAAAAATGGGAAGAATGGAGAAAAAAGGGGGAAAATGGGAAAAATGGGGAAAATGAGAAAGAAACAGGGAAAAACTGGGGAAAAATGAGGAAAAATGGGGAAAAAGAGGGAAAACAGGGGAAATGGGAAAAAATAGGAAAAAAACAGGAAAAACGGGAGAAATGGGAAAAACAGGGAAAATGGGATTGGGAATAAATCTAAGGAAAAAATTTGGGATGAAACTGGGGATCCACCATGGTGCTGCCGGAAAAACGGGGGAAAATGGGAAAAAATGGGGGAAAATGGGGAAAATGGGTAATAAACTGGAAAAATGGGGAAAATGGGAATATCAGGGAAAAAATGAAGAAAATGGGGAAAATCTGGGGAAAAATCTGGGGAAAAACGGGGAAAAATCGGGAAAAATGGGAAAAAAACAGGGAAAAATGGGGGAAAAACTGGGGGAAAATGGGAAAAAATGAGAACAAAAAGGGAAAAATCGGGAAAAATGGGAAAAAAACCAGGGAAAAACAGTGAGAAAAGGAGAAAAAATGGGGGGAAACTGGGAAAAATGGGGGAAAATGGGGAAAACTGGGGAAAAAATGAGAAAAAAGAAAAAAATGGGGGGAAATGGGAAAAAATGGGAAAATGGGGGAAATGGGGAAAAATGGGGAAAAATGGGGAAAAACAGGGAAAATGGGAAAAAAACAGGAAAAAATAGGGGAAAATGGGGAAAAATTGGAAAAATGGGAAAAACAGGGAAAATGGGACTGGGAATAAATCTAAGGAAAAAATTTGGGATGAAATTGGGGTTTGTGGGATGGGAAATTTCTGGGATTTCCAGGACGGAATTCCAGCTTTTCCCTGGGATCCACCATGGTGCTGTGGGCACAAAGAACCTGGGAAAAGCCGGAAAAATGGAATTGGGAAGAAAAAATTGGGAAAAAAGGGATTAAAGGATTTCTGGGATGGGACATTCCTGATGTCTCTGGATTCCATCCCATGGATCCAATTCCATGGGAATTCCATCCGGCCCCGAGGCAAATCCCAGGAATCTGGGAATGGGGAAATTGGGAATGGGGAAATTGGGAAATCCGGGAATTGGGGTAATGTGGGAACGAAGAAATCCAGGAATGGGAAAATCTGGGAATGGGGAGTTTTGGAAGTAAAAATTCCCTGCAATTCAATTGCACAGAAACCAAATCCCCAAAATCCAATAAAAACCCCCAAAAATTTAAAAAAATAAAAAAAAAATCCCCAAAAAATCCCAAAATCCCCAAATCCCCAAAATCCAAAAAATTCCCCCAAAATTCCCCCCAAATTCCCAACATCCCATATCCCCAAATCCCCGAAATCCCAAATCCCCAAATTCCAAAAATCCCCAAAATATCCAAAATCAAAAAAAATCCCCAAAATCCCAAAATCAAAAAAAAACCCCAAAATCTCAAAATCCCAAAAATAAAAAAAAAAATCCCAAAATCCCCAAAATTCCCCAAATCCTCAAATCCCCAAAACCCCAAATCCCCAAATCCCAAATCCCAAAAATTCCCAAAAAATTCCCAACACATTCCCAAAATCCCAAATCCCCAAAATCCAAAAATCCCAAATCGCAACAACCCCAAATCCCAAAATTCCCCAAATCCCAAAATTCCCCAAATCCCGGGAATTGGGGTCTCACAGGAGCCTCTGGAGCCGCTCAGTGGCCACTCGGAAACAGCAAAAATCCTGGAAAAGAGATCGGAAACCTCTGGGAATTCCCAGAAATCCGGGAAGGAAATCCACGGAAAGCCGGGAATGGCCGAGAATTCCCGGTTTTTCCTCACCTGGTTCCGGCTCGGGATCGGATCCTGGAGAGGCCAAAGGTGCCTGGGAAGGGAAATTTGGGATTTGGGATTTCCCGATCCCGCGGGAGAAAAAGAAATTCCATGAAAATCCTGGAATGTTCTCTGGGATAGGACACGGACAGTGGGGAATTCTGGGATGGAAGGATTTGGATTTTCCATGGAATTCCAGGAAAATCCTTTGGGATTGGGATTTTCCAGGAATTATCCCTTGGGATCTCCTCTGTTTCCTCCTCTCCCGGCTCTGCTCCAGCCTCGGGAATCTGGGAATTCCATCCCATGGATCCAATTCCTTGGGAATTCAATCCCTGGGAATTCCAGCCCATGGATCCGTTTTTCTGGGAATTCGGAATTCCAGCCCATGGATCCATTTTTCTGGGAATTCAATCCCTGGGAATTCCATCCCTGGATCCCTTTCCCAGGAATTCCATCCTTAGGAATTCCATCCCATGAATCCAATTCCCCGGGAATTGCAGCTCGTGGATCCAATTCCATGGGAATTCCGTCCATGGGAATTCCATCCTTGGATCCATTTTTCCTGGAATTTGGAATTCCATCCATGGATCCAATTCCTTGGGAATTCCATCCGTGGGAATTCCACCCCATGGATCCATTTTTCTGGGAATTCCAGCCTTGGGATTCCATCCCCGGATCCCTTTCCCGGAATCCTCCAGGAGAATTCCCAAAAATCCGGGAAATTTCCAAAATTTAGAATTATTGACATTTAAAAACTCAGGATAATTTGGGGTGAAGAATTTGGGAATTTTCCACATTTAAAAATTTATGACTTCCAAAAATTTGGGATAATTTGAAGCAAAAAATTTGGGATTTTCCCACATTTATAGATCATTGAAATTTAAAAATTTGGGATAATTTGGAACAAAAAAATTTGGGAATTTCTCACATTTAAAAATTATAAATTTGGGATAATTTGGACCAAAAAAATTCAGGAATATTTCCAATTTATAAATGTATGGATATTTCTAAATTTGGGATGATTTGGGAATTTTTGCACAATTTACAAATTATTGACATTTAAAAATTTGGGATAATTTGGAACAAAAAATTTGGGAATTTCTCACATTTATAAATTCATAAATTCATAAATTTGGGATATTTTGGAGAAAAAAAATCAGGATTTTCCCACACTTAAAAATCATTGACTTCCAAAAATTTGGGATAATTTGGAGCAAAAAGTTCAGGATTTTCCCACATTTAGAAATCATTGAAATTTAAAAATTCAGGATAATTTGAAGCAAAAAAAATGGGAATTTTTCCATATTTATATATTTATGACCTCCAAAATTTCAGGATAATTTACAGCAAAAAAATTCAGGAATTCCCCCCAAAAAAATAAAAATCCCGGAATACAAACCAGGATAACAACACCTCCCAACCAAACCCTTCCGGAACGGGAATTCCTCCGGAAAAATAAAACCCCCTCGGAGCACTGAACCTTCCCGGGATTTTTCACGCGGGAATTCCGCTCACTTCTGCACTCCCAGGAATTCCAGGAGCTGGAAATCCGGGAGTTGGCTCAGCTCCCGGATTCCTTGGCTGTAGAGCTCGTCCTGGCGCTGGTGCTGGAGCAGGTAAAGCACCGAGAGCTCCGGGTAAAACCTGGCCAGGATCAGCGGCAGCACCGGCCCGGAGCCCCTGCGGAAAACACGGAAAAAAAATTGGGATTTTCCAAAGGAATTCCGGGTGGGTTTACCGGGAAGGGACGGGGGAGGGGTTGGGATGGGGTGGGAGGGAATGGATCCCGGAGGAGATGGAGAAGGGAGGGAGCTCCGGGAAATTCCATGGGAAAATTCTGGAGAACTGGGAAATTCCATCGGAAAACCTGGAGCACCAGGAAATTCCATGGGAAAATCCTGGAGAACCAGGAGAGCTCCTGGAAATTCCATGGGAAAATCCTGGAGCACCAGGAAATTCCATGGGAAAATCCTGGAGAACCAGGAAATTCCATGGGAAAATCCTGGAGAGCTCCAAGAAATTCCATGGGATAATCCTGGAGTGCCAGGAAATTCCATGGGAAAAAGCTGGAGAAACGGGAAATTTCATGGGAAAATCCTGGAGCACCAGGAGAGCTCCAGGAAATTCTCTGGGAAAACCTGAAGCCCCTGGAGATCTCCAGAGTTCTTGGGAAAAACCTGGAGCATCTGGAGATGTCCAGGAAATTCCATAGGGAAAAAAAATCAGGAGCACCAGGAGATCTCCAGAAAATTCCCCTGGAAAAAAATTCCAGGAAATTCCATGGGAAACGTCTGGAGAACCTGGAGATCTCCACGAATTTCACTGGGAAAACCTGGAGGTGTCCATGAAATTCCATGGGAAAACCTGGAACAACAGGAAATTCCATAGGAAAAAAAACCAGGAGCTCCAGGAGGTCTCCAGAATCACCAGGAAAGTTCTGGAGCTCCAGGAAATCTCCAGGAAATTCCTTGGGAAAAAATTCCAGGAAATTCCGTGGGAAACATCTGGAGAACCTGGAGATCTCCAGGAAATTCCTTGGGAAAAAATTCCAGGAAATTCCATGGGAAACATCTGGAGAACCTGGAGATCTCCAGGAAATTCCATGGGAAATGTCTGGAGAACTTGGAGGTCTCCAGGAAATTCCCAGGAAAATCCCGGAACACCTGAGAAATTCCCAGCCGTTTTTCCAAGCCATTCCCAAGGAATCCCAGCAGCTCCAGGAAATCCATTTGGAGCTCTTTGTCTTTCTGGGATTTTTGGGAAAAATCCCCGGAAAAATCCCTGGAAAATCCCGTAGCGGAACCAAACCTCGGCTCCTCCATCCTCAAATCCCAAAGCCGCATTCCCAGAATTTTTCCCGCTTTTTATTCCGAGTTTTCCAGCTCCGGAATGGGAGGAGGAGGAGCCGGATGGGGAAATTCCAGAATTCCCGGAATTCCCTGGGAATTCCCAAGGGATGAGCGGGAATTTCCGGAGGTGGCACCGACCTGGGATCGACGTCGTCCGAGGGCAGCCGGAGAAAAGCTCTGGAAAAGGAAAATCCGGGATCAGCTCCTTCCCGGGAATTCCTCGGGATTTGTTCCCAAAGGAGGAGCCGGCCCAGGGGGAGAGGGGAGAAAATCCTGGGAATTCCGGCGGGAACGGGGAGAATTCCAGGATTTCTATGGAATTCCAGAGGGTTTGGAATGGGTTGGGAAGGAATTGGTGGATGGGAGGGGTTGGGAGGGAATTCCCGGGAATGTGGGGCTGATCCTGGAAATCAGGGAGGGGTTGGATGGGGCTGGGAGAAACCTGGGATTATTTGGATTATTGGAATTATTTGGATTATTTGGATTATTGGGATTATTGGGATTATTTGGATTATTGGGATTATTTGGGTTATTGGGATTTTGGGATTTGGATTGGGATTATTTAGATTATTGGAATTACTTGAATTACTGGGATTACTGGGATTATTTGGATTATTTGGATCGGGATTCGGAATTGGATTATTTGGATTATTCAGATTATTTGGATTGGAATTTGGATCAGGAATGTGATTATTGGGATTTTTTGGATTGGATTTTTTTTGATTATTGGAATTGGGATCGGGATCAGGATTGGGATTGGGGTTTGGATTATTGGGATTATTGGGATTGGATTATTTGGATTGGGATTATTGGGATTGGAATTTTTTTATTATTGGGATTGGGATTATTTGGATTATTTGGATTGGGATTGGGATTTGTATTGGGATTATTTGGATCAGGATTTGGATTATTTGAATCGGGATTGGGATTATTGGGATTGGAATTATTTGGATTGGGATTATTGGGATCGGGATTCGGAATTGGATTATTTGGATTATTCAGATTATTTGGATTGGAATTTGGATCAGGAATGTGATTATTGGGATTTTTTGGATTGGATTTTTTTTGATTATTGGAATTGGGATCGGGATCAGGATTGGGGTTTGGATTATTGGGATTATTGGGATTATTTGGATTGGGATTATTTGGATTATTGGCATTGGATTATTTGGATTTGGATTATTGGAATTGGGATTGGGATTGAGATCAGGATTGGGATTATTTGGATTTGGATCCCAAAATTCCCAAACCCCTCAGTCAGGAGCTCCTGGAGTTCTCTGAGCAGCACAGCCACTTTTAACTCTTTCCTTTCCTCCCCAAAACTCCCCAAAATTCCCCCAAAATTCCCAAAGAACTCCCAAAAATTCCCAAAACTCCCAAAGAACTCCCAAGAACTCCCAGAAATTCCCAAGAATTCCCAAGAAATTCCCAAAGAACTTCCAAAAACTCCCCAAACTCTGAAAAAACTCCCAAAAAGTCCCCAAAAATTCCACAAAAATTCCCAAAGAACTCCCAAAACTCCCAAAGAACTCCCAAAAACTCCCAAGAACTCCCCAAAAATTCCCCAAAACTCCCAAAATTCCCCAAAAATTCCCAAAAATTCCCAAAGAACTCCCAAAAATTCCCAAAAATTCCCAAATTTCCCAAATTCCTAAAAATTCCCAAATACCCAAAAAACCTCCCAAAATTCCCCAAAAACTCCCAAAAATTCTGCAAAATTCCCCAAAACCTCCCCAAAACCCTCCCCAAAACTCCCCGAATTCCCAATCCCGCCCTTCCCATCCCCCATCCCGGACTCACCGGGCGAATTCCCAGATTTTCCGGGCGTACAGCTGCACCTCGGCCTGCGCCATTCCCAGCAGGAGCCGGCTGGAGCCGGGCCCGGAATACGAGGCCTGGAATGCGGAGCCCAGAGCCCGGAGCAGCTTCCCCAGAGGGTGCCGGGGACAGCGCAGAGCCTGCGGGGACAGCGGGAATACCGGGAATGGGAGGAATTCCAATGGAATTCTGATGGAATTCTCGGGGGGATTTGGGATTTGAGCCTGCGGGGACATCGGGAATACCGGGAATGGGTGGTATTCCCATGGAATTCTGATGGAATTCTCAGGGGGGATTTGGGATTTGAGCCTGGGAAAGCCAAAGGGAGCAGCGGGAATGGCTGGAATTCTGATGGAATTCTCAGGGGGATTTGGGATTTGAGCCTGGGAAAGCCAACGGGAACAGCGGGAATTCCACAGGATGGAAGAGATTTGGGATTTGAGCCTCAGAATCCAAAGGGAGAAGCAGGAATGGGCGGAATTCCAATGGAATTCTTGGGCAGTTGGGATTTGAGTCTGGGAATCCAAAGGGAATAGAGGGAATGGGAGGAATTCCAATCGAATTCTGATGGAATTCTCAGGGGGCTTGGGATTTGAGCCTGCAGGGACAACTGGAATACAGGGAATGGGTGGAATTCCAATTGAATTCCTCGGGAATTCTCAGGGAGGTTTGGGATTTGAGCCTGCGGGGACAACAGGAATACAGGGAATGGCCGGAATTCCAATGGAATTCTGCTGGAATTCTTGGGGAGATTTGGGATTTGAGCCTGCGGAGCCAAAGGGAGCAGCGGGAATGGCTGAAATTCCTCGGGAATTCTCAGGGAGATTTGGGATTTGAGCCTCAGAATCCAAAGGGAGAAGTGGGGATGGCCGGAATTCCGATGGAATTCTTGGGGGCATTTGGGATTAGAGCCTGGGAAAGCCAAAGGGAGCAGTGGGAGTGGCTGGAATTCCGATGGAATTCTTGGGGGGATTTGGGACTTGAGTCTGGGAATCCAAACGGAGCAGCGGGAATGGGAGGAATTCCTCGGGAACTCTTGGGGGGGATTTGGGATTTGTCCATGCTTTGGGTTCCGGTTTTCCCGCTGGGGTTTTTGGGATGTTCCGGAGGGAGAAGGGGGGAGGGAAAGAGGTTGGGAATGGCTGGGTCTGGGAATTAGGGGGTCTTAATTGGGCTTCAATTAATTATTGAATTAATTAATTGAATTTTTAATGAATTAAATGAAATTAATTATTAGTTATTAATTTATCTTAAATATTATGTTATGGTATGGTATATTGTATTATATTAATGTAGTCTATTATATTAATTGCATTATATTATATTATATTATATAATATTTTATTATATTATATTATATTATATTATATTATATTATATTATATATTATTTTATATTATATTATATTATATTATTTATGAGTTTATTTCTTATTTTCTCTATAATTTTATTTATTAAATTCATTTATTAACTTAATATATTTTTTTAAAAATTAATTTATTCCATTATTCCATCTTTATGGAATATTTAATTATTTAATTAAATATGAAACATTTCATATCCAATTATTAAATTGGAATAATTATTTATATGGTTTATTAAACTGAATTATTAATTTAATATTTTTTTACAAAATTTAATTTATTCCATTGTTCCATTCTGATGGAATGTGTAATTATTTAATTATGACATATTGAATATTGAATCATAAAATTAAAACAATTATTTAATTTATTAAACTGAATTATTAATTAATTATTAATTAATAATCAATTTTTAAATTAAATGTTAAATATTAAATGTTTAATGATTAAATTGAAAAAATTATTTAATTTAATAAATTAAATTCTTAATTAAATAAATTTTTTAAACGAATTAATTTATTCCATGATTCCATTTTAATGGAACATTTAATTACTTATTTAAATATGAAATATTTAACTATTTAATTATTAAATTGACATATTTAATTAATTAATTAATTAATTAATTACTATTTTTTAAAAAATTGATTTTCATTATTCCATTTCAATGGAACATTTAATTACTTAACTAAAGAGCAAATATTTATCTATTTAATTATTAAATTGAAATATTTCATTCATTCATTCATTCATTAATAATTTAATATTTTTTAAAAATTAATTTTCATTATTCCATTTTAATGGAACATTTAATTACTTAATTAAATAGGAAATATTTAACGATTTAATTATTAAATTTAATTAATTAATTATTTAGGTTTTTTTTTAAAATGTTAATTTTCATGATTCCATTTTAATGGAACATTCAGTTACTTTAATAAATATGAAATATTTAACTATTTAATTATTAAATTGAAATATTTAATTATTTCATTAATTAATTAATAATTTAATATTTTAAAAAAATTAATTTTCATTATTCGATTTTAATGGCACATTTAATTACTTAATTAAATAGGAAATATTTAAATATTTAATTATTAAAATTATATATTTAATTTATTTATTTATTAATAATTTACTATTTTTAATAAATTAATTTTCATTATTCCATTCTAATGGAACATTTAATTCCTTAATTAAATATTAAACATTTTAATATTTAATTATTCCATTAAATCATTTATTAATAACCGATTACTTAGGGAACATCGATCATTTAGATTTGGGAATCATTCCCGTTTTTACCTTCTCCAGGAATCTCCGGAGCGCCTCCGGCTCCCGGCCCAGCTCCTCCGGGAAATTCCCGTTTCTCCAGGAGAGCTCCTCGGCGCCTCTGGAAAACCGGGAAGTGAGAACGGAAAAGAGAACCCAGAAAATTCCAGAGGGACGGGAAAAATCCCGGAAATCCCTGGGAATCTCCTGGATTTGGGCTCAGCTGGGCTGGGAAATTCCTCCAGAGCCGGAGGAGCCGGAAAATTCCTGGAATGGCAGCGGAGCCCTGGATGGGAATGAGGGAATCCTTGGGATGGACGGGATTCCCGGGATTTCTTCAGGGATTCCAGGGATTTCCTCAGGGATTTCCAGGATTTTCTCAAGAGTTTCCAGGATTTCCTCAGGAATTCTCGGGATTTCCTCAGGGATTCCCAGGATTTCCTCACGGATTCCTGGGATTTTGTCAGGGATTCTCAGGATTTTCCCAGAGATTCCCAGGATTTCCTCTTTGAAAGCACAAGATTTCCAGGATTTCCTCTGGGATTCCTGGGATTATGTCAGGGATTCCCAGGGATCTCCTCAGGGATTCCCAGGATTTCATGAGAGATTTCCGGGATTCCCTCAGTACCTCTGGCAGAACAGGAATTCCCAGGATTTTCTCAGGAATTTCCAGGATTTCCTCTTTGGCCCAACAGGAATTCCTGGAATTTCCTCTGAGATTCCCAGGATTTTGTCAGAGATTCCTGGGATTTCTCAGGGATTCCCAGGATTTCCTCAGGAATTCTCGGGATTTCCTCTTTGACAGGACAGGAATTCCCAGGATATCCCCAGGAATTCCCAGGATTTCCTTAGGAATTCCCATGATTTCCTCAGGAGTTCCCAGGATTTTTTCAGGAATTCCCAGGATTCCCTCCATACCCCTGGCCGAACAGGAATTCCCAGGATTTTCTCAGGGATTCCTGGAATTTCCTCAGAAATTCCCAGGGTTTCCTCAGGAATTCCCAGGATTTTCTCAGGATTTCCCAGGATTTCCGCAGGAATTCCCAGGATTTTTTCAGGAATTCCCAGGATTTCCTCAGGAATTCCCAGGATACCCTCCATACCCCTGGCCCAATAGGAATTCCCGGGATTTTCTCAGGAATTCCCAGGATTTTCTCAGGAATTCCCAGGATTTCCTCAGGAATTCCCAGGATTTCCTCGGGAATTCCCAGGATTTGCTCCATACCCCTGGCTGAACAGGAATTCCCGGGATTTCCTCAGCTCCTTGCCCGTTTGGATGTGGAATCCCGTGAAAAATTCCTCGGTTTCCTCCTTGCAGCCGGAATGGAGAAATTCCTGGAATTGCTGGAAGATTCCCGCCCATCTCTTCTCCACCGGGAATTCCTTCAGGCCCAGCTGCCTGGAAAAGGAGCCGGGATTGGGATTTTCCGTGTTCTTCCCAAATTCCCAGCCTGGAATCTGCACAGGGATGGACCCGGAGCCCCTCGGGAAGAGCCCCTGGAATTCCCAAGAATTCCAGCCCAGAATTCCCAAGGATCCTGGATGGACCCAGAACCCCTCAGGAAGCACTCCCAGAATTCCCAAAGATCCCAGCCTGGAATTCCCAAGGATCTGTATGGACCCAAAACCCCTCGGGAAGAGCCCCTGGAATTCCCAAGAATCCCAGCTTGGATTCCCAGAGATCCCAGATGGATCCAGAGATCCTCAGGAAGTGCCCCAGAATTCCCAAGGATCCTGGATGGACCCAAAACTACTTGGGAAGTGCCCTGGAATTCCCAAAGATCCCAGTGTGGAATTCCCAGAGATCCCAGATGGATCCAGAGGCACCCCCAGAATTCCCAGGGATCTTGGATGGACCCAGAACCCCTCGGGAAGCGCTCCCAGAATTCCCAAGGATCCCAGCCCGGAATTCCCAGAGATCCGGGATGGATCCCAGGGATCCCCACAATTCCCGGATGGATCCAGAACCCCTCGGGAAGCGCTCCCAGAATTCCCAAGGATTCCAGCCCAGAATTCCCAAGGATCCAGGATGGATCCCAGGGATCCCCACAATTCCCAGATGGATCCCAGGGATCCCCACAATTCCTGGATTTCCTCACTCACGGCGTTGCCTGCATGGAGCCGTCAGCCAGGGAGAGCCGGCCCTGCCGAGAGTGATTAATTGATTAATTATTAATTAACTGATATTGATTAATATTGGTTCTTAACAATCTATTCTGTTATTGAATTTTATTATTAATTTCTCTGTTTATTATTAAACTCCCCATTATTAATTTAATATCCTGATTTAGTTGAAGTTTATTATTGAATTCTAATAAATTCTCTATTATTAAATTTTATTACTAAATTCTGCTTTTATTACTAAATTCCCCATTATTAATTTAATGATTTATTTAATATTTATTAGATTTTCTGGTATTAATTTCTCTGTTTATTATTAAATTTCCCATTATTAATTTAATATCCCGATTTAATTAATGACTGAATTTTATTATTAAATTCTCTATTTATTATTATTAAATTTCCCATTATTAATTTAATATCCTGATTTAGTTAAACTTTATTACTGAATTTTAATTAATTCTTAATTATTAAATGTTTTATTATTTATTATTAAATTCCCAATTATTAATTTAATATCCTGATTTAGTTAAACTTTATTACTGAATTTTAATTAATTCTTAATTATTAAATGTTATAATTGCATTCTCTATTTATTTCTAAATTCCCCATTATTAATTTAACATCTTGATTTAGTAGAACTTTATTATTGAATTTTAATTAATTCTCAATTATTAAATTTTATTACTAAATCCTGTATTTATTACTAAATTCCCCATTATTAATTTAATGTCCCA